CAATGGGCACCCCTGAGTTCTTCTATTCTGTACAGCAGAGTTTCTCAGCTTTGGCAACTTTAAGGCATGTGGACTTCAGCTCCCGGAATTCCCCGGCCAGCCTTGCTGTACAGGATCACATTCACTGATAATGCTATAGAAATGTCATCAGCGGACATGACAGCTTTCCAGGGTCGCTCTTCAGCCTCTTTGGGGAGCAGAGCACTAGCAGAGATGGTGGAGGTATAACTCCCTTCCCTTGCAGCCCCCCTGCAAATCCCCATCACGTTACTTGACACATCTAACCCTGTAGGTAGCTATAAAATAGGCTGCCCCAAATCGATATCCTCCAAACAGTCTGCGAAAGAAAAACATAATGTTTAATCTTGGTACACTCTGTACCAGGGAAGATGATGTTTAGAAGCTCTGCTACTGGAAAGTGAGCATGGATGCTAATATAGCAAGACACTGGCTGGGTGGCTGCAACAGAAGAGGGAGAGGGGAGGAAATAGGAAAGGAAGGGGAAGTTGCTTCTCCAGTTCCTGGTGGGCATGTTGGTAACTTAGGGGTTCCCGTGCCTCCTTTCTTTCCCTCCTGCCAGCGCCAGATACTACAAGGCAGCTGATATTGATGCCAGGGCTGCTGAGTGTGGTGATCGTGGTGAGCATAGGGGTGCTTCTCATTGTTCTGCCCCGTGGCGTGGTGGAGATCTACGACCGGAGAGAGTTCAGACGCTTTGAAAAGGAACAAGAAGGTGCCAAGTGGTCCAAGGTCAGTGCCTCTCAAAGCTGCTTTAACTTACAAGGCCATGCTGAAGGAGAAGAACCTGCCCCACCAGTCTGCTTTTTCCCTTGGAAAACACCTGCAGAAAATTTGAGGGACAGAGCTCTACCACCTGGAAAATGCAATACACACAGACACACACACATTCCAATACCATGGAATGGGGTAGCTTACAATCTGACTCACACACACACACACACACAGTCAGATTGTCAGCTACCCCCATTCCATGGTATTGGCAATGCTACCAAGCAGGGTTTCCAAGAGCCACCTTTATCTCAAGCAAGCGGGGGGGGGGGGGGGGGGGGGGAGGCATTGTATTGCTTGTTCTCAACCGTACCAGCTGAGAAGCAGCGCTGCTCTTCTACTTACCACTGAGGACATGGGCAGCTTTGGACCCTCCCACAGGCTACAGCTCTCCTCTGCCCCAGCCTGTAGAGTCAGGAATTATAGGGTCCTAAACTTCAATCAGCTTTACATGGATGGGCATAGCTTTAAGTTGCAATAACAAAGCAATTAAGTCTGGGATAAGTTTAGTTTTGGTGCCTCCAGGGCTTTTAGTGCTCTTCAGTTAACTGTAGCACAAACTGTGAAGATCTTTTGCACAAAAGCACACAGACTACTCTCGTTTCTCTGGGAAGTGAAACTTTCTAGCTGGTGGTATCATTTGGAGCAATCTTGCTCTGAAGGTTACTTGGAGGCTGTGTGGCACAAACTGCAGTTTACTCAACCCTAATTTCTAGATATAGGTTAGCCAGCTTGTGGTTTAGTGTGCCATACTAATATAGCCTAAAATTATACTGAATCCTTCTTTCTGAGATGGCTTCAAAGTGAGTTCTGGGGAAATAGAAAACGAGCCTTTTCAAAGATGACTCCACTTGCGGATACAAATTCAGCATATACACTTTGCCCTGTTCTTTTGATTTCTTTTTCCAGGTGAACAACTTCAAGTTCAAGAGTGCCACCACAACAATCATCAACCCCCAGTACTATGGTAATGAAAACATTGCAAACACAGCTTGAAAACACTGTGCCAACAGCTGGCGAAGATACTGTATGACTTTGGAGCAGACACCTGTATGAGAATTTTCCCCTGAGCAAGCCCTAATGTAGATCGACCTACATCACCAGATAATCCAGGATTGAAATAATGAATCAACATCTGTAGCAAAATCTCAAAGTGGTCAACCAATAAAACCTTTATTGTACCATGCTTTACTTGACCTCACGTATTTTGTGCTTGGAAACAGGGTCATTCCTCATTTGCATCTAACCATGGCACAAACTTGCCCTGGAAAGATCTTTTTCTGTTGGGTCCCTGTGAGTAAAATAGCCTTAAGTTCTCCTTAGCTCTATTGGTGGTGTCAACAAGAGCCACAAGGTGTTTAAACTCTTATTAGGCATTGCCACCTATTGAGATGAAGTCATGGGGATCATTTCAAGCTTTAGGCCCACAGCCAACCTGGTCTGCCACCATCCTGTTGTTGCATCCCTAGAGGATGGATGCAGTAGCCAATGGGCCTTCAGATTCACACAAGAGTGGCAAAGCTGTATCTTTCATCACTGGGGTTCTCCTTGCATTCTTTTGGCAATCCTGCTGTAGCTGTGTACAAATGCTTCTCAGCCATAGGCATGTCTATCCATAAAATGTAATATAACATGGAATGTTGGAAGCAATTGGCTGTCAGTAAAGTTAAACTATCAGAGTTGCACAAACAGCACTTAACTGTTCAACAAGCAGTATTACAAATGTTTTAACTCTGTGACCTTACTAGTTTAGCACAAAACTGAAATGATGATGGAATTACAAGACCAAGCCTCTCCTCATTGCCTCCCTAACAAAACATGGAGGAATATGAAAGTCAACATTTGCTGCCTGTACAGGTAGTTCTTGTTTATCAACCACAATTGGGATCAGCAACTTGGTTAAGCGAAGTGGTCGCTAAGTGAAACTGTGATTGTGCTTAAGATCTTCAGCTTTCCTTTTCCTTTGAAGGTCATAAAAAAAAGTTACTTTTTCATCACCACTGTAACTGAATGGTCGCTATTTGGCAGTCACTAAACAAGGACTACCTGTATAATAGAAGAAAAGGAATGGGGTAGAATTTCTAATAAAAAATGCTGCTTGTGACTAAGCTCCCATTGTGGCACCAAAGGGGGAGAGTCCAGCAATCAGATCCAATCTACCCATTGCAGTGCTGTTCTACCTGTCAGCTGATGATGTGTTAAGGATGGAGGACAACAAAGCTGGGAATCAGTTTTGCTTATCATGTGCTGCACACGTAACAGCATCATTTAGAGTGACTTGAAAAGACACAACTTAGGCAAGACAGGGATCACCAAGAGGGCACCCAATTTCATGCTGGCATAATTTACTGATAACTCAAGGGTGTACAGATTAGCACTTTAACTCAGAAAAAGTGAAACACTGTAACAGAAGCAGACATCTCTTCCTTCCAATGAAGTTAGGTGGGTTGGAGTTTTTATAGGTAGGAATGCCCTAGATTGGAAGTTGGGTATTACTGGAACCATCAACGTGGAAGTGTAGGCAGCAGGATTTTAGATTAGTTTCCAGCGCAACCACTGATCTGGGCGTGGCCAACCTACAACTTTTCTCTTCCCCCCAGCACACTTGCAGTGATATTCTGAACAGCTATCATGGCTAGCTGCTGCACACACTATAACATGAACCTGGTAGATGTATTGTTTCTTTTTTCTTAGGAATGCGTTTTCTCCTAGCTCTAGAACCCGAAAGATTTCTGCCTGAAAGCCCAGAGAGCTGCTGCCTATCAGTGTGGACCAGGGACTTCCTCTCTCTGAAAGTGAGCCCCACCACCTCCGGGTAGGACCTGGTCCACCACTGGAATGCAGCCCAGAAAACAAAACGGGCATTCAAATCTGCTAAAGACAGTACCGTGCCATCTCCTTTGTGCCCGTGTTCCACTGCTGGCCCTTCACCCAAGCATATGGCAGAACAAAGCAAACTGGCCAAAGAATATGTAACACCCACATTAATGGCATGGAGAAGCAGTGAAGCTAAGGGTTGGGAGGGAAAGCAAGCCGAGTTTATTTTGGTTACAGTACTGAAATAGACCACACACACAAAAAGGAAAAGACACCACACTGTAATGGTAAAAAGATACAAGTTTATAGCATCTTATAAAAACTACAATTTAAAAGTGATCCTGTCCTTGGGTAACACACCCCTGCCCCAATTCCTTTCCCTGCAAAATAAGTGAGTTAAAGGGAAGGAAAATAAATTATTTTAGAAAAAGCTATTGGACCTTTACATTAAGTCCACAGGTTCTCTGGTCAGGCTGAAGTGCTAGAATTTTTCTTCCTTTCAGGAGGACTATGGGAAAGCCAATACAAACTGCAAGAAGAGATCCTTTACGTTTTCTTCCTATTTGAACCAAATTCCTAAATTAAGACCAGCAGCACCACCTCAGAAAGCACCTTAAGGCACCCCATCCATGTGACTAGTACAATGTGTCCTTCGGCTACCAGCCCCCGGGAAAAGGGACGGGAATGGCAACAGTTCCCAACAACATCCACTGACAGAATGGGATTTCTGACTTCCATGGAGGAAAGTCGGTAGGACAGAGGACACAGGCAAATAAAGTTCCTTCTGAAACTTGCCCCCAGTTGCACTTTAGTGCAATACAATTACAGACACTCCTCGGCTTACACAAAGGTTCCAGTCCACCTGACTTTTGCAGGTCGGCTTGCATGCTGCTGCCATTTTGCACCCATACAAAACAGCGTCCGCCAGGTTGACTCCCTCTGGCATGTCAAAATTACGCAAGTCTGGACTTACATACCTTGGGGACTGCCTGTATAAGGAACATATTCAAGTTAGACAAAGATACAGGGGAAAAGCATGGTGCATACTCTCTAAAGAATGGCTTCTCTATATCTAAGAGAGGCATTACCATAGGCTGTGTTGGTAAGATTGTGTGTCCTTAAGTTCCTGCAAAGGAGGCACATTTCAACATTTACGCAGAACCCATTTTCCAGGCTGCTGCTACCTGGAATTGCCAAGCCATCCAATTCATCTAACTCTCAGCTGCAATCATGCCAAAGCAACTCCATCCATTGCGCTGGTACTGTGAAGAATATTTAAAAACATTTCATTGTTTTTACCTATGTGTTAAGTCTCACCTTCCTCAACCTTCAACAAATTTGTCTTCTTTTCACCTCACTGCCTCCTCACGGTTCTATTTAAACAAACAAATCTCACTCTGAAATGGTTTGGGTCCCTTGCATTTTAAAGAGCGACAATCAGTGAAACTTCCAGTCAAGTTTCACTTCCTTTCAATTTCATCTCCATAAAGAAAAAATGCAAAGACCTTAGTGCAATTATACCTACTGCATACAATTTCTAGATGAGATGAACCAGCAGCAATTAATAGATGCTATCAATTTATTTGGGGTGGGTCAAGGTAATTCTTTAAATGAAACCTCCTTTCATAGAAAACTATTTTTCCCCTGCTTTGCTAACTTTCTGCCTGCAGGCAATTATTTCTTTTAACAGAAAATGCTTGAACCATACTATTCTGCCCAATTACTAAAATTACTCACTGAATTGTACTCGTTGTTCTTTCTGAAAAATCGTCACCTGCAATATTTAGCTCCTGAAACACAAGGAGGGCAAACACATAATTTAAAGTACTTCACAAAAGCTTTTTGTTTCTAGCCGCTGGAAAAACTATGGATTTCTTTTAAAGAAAAAAACATTTTTGTGGAGAATGGTGAACATAACAGAGTACAACATAGTTCACGAAGCTGAGATAGTAGTTCGGAAAAGCGCATGAACTCTAAGCTGGCCACGCACCAACCCCACTATGAAGATGGCTGCAAGAAACAGAAACCGAAGATGGGAGCAGCATTGACTACCGTGCCTGCCTTCTCTCCCATCCTGTTCTTTCAACACTACAGTCCACTTCTGAGCAAAATTCAGCAGTGAAAGTCACCTGCAGGTCGTTTTTGAGGTTAGCATTTTTTCCCCTCACTTCTGAACAGGGAAAGAGAGTTAGACAACAAGACTGGCACACCACCAATTAATGCCTATATAGGTGACTGTTAAATGGCTGAGCTGGTCAAGCGTGCAGCAACTTGAAGAACTCCTCCCAGAGTGCATGGTGTTAACTAACTAACCTCCCAGGTTCCGACGGCAGAACCCCTGCAAGATGCAGAGCCTAAGCAAAACACACCCTTGCGCTACTAAAGCTGCCCATGCTTTAGAGAGATCAAAACAACCCAGTTGTTACTCTGCTTGGCACATAAAGCATTCAGCAGTATGAGACAGTTCACTCAAGAGATTCAGCTTGCCGCTTGGGGAAATACTAGGCAACAGTGAATATGCTTTGTAATGCCATGTCTCAATTACTGGATTAATGCCAGAGGATTAGCTAGAAAAGGACAGAAAAACAACATCGAGTACTGGACAAAGAGGTTTCTTCTGCTCAAGCAATTTTTCCCCCCCAGCCGAGCACATTGCCACTTCCCCCGAAACAGTCACATTCCAATTTCCTTTCCACTTTCTTTCTAAGTATCTGCATTTCCTCCAAGGTTTTCTATAGCAATTATTTTATTTCCTTTTGGGGAAAAACAGTCCTCAGGAAACTGAAAGACCTATGGCGGTACGTTCTTTTTAAAGAGCAGCCATTTTATCAGCCCCACCAAACAGCAACAAACCACAATTTTTAGAGTTGTGAGATGCCCTAATCATTCCTATGAACTGCAGAGTACAAGTCAATGTTACTAATTTTGGAAATGTAACGAGGCTGGGAATGAAATAATATTGGCTCTTCCAATATACGAAGGAAGGGGAATCTAAGAGCTCTTTTATAAAAAATATGATCTCCTCTATAGTAACATTCCCCAAGCTAATATACTCCAGATTTGTTGGACTACAACTCCCATGATCCCTAGGCAGCAAGGGGAAGGCTGATCTAAAGAAGAATGCCTTTTGCCAGTACTGGAATCTCTTAAATGGTTGAATTTGTGGGGGACAACAATCTTGATCCAAAGCAGTGTTTTTCCAAACTTGGCAACTTTTAAGATGTGTGGACTTCAGCTCCCAGAATTCCCCCGCCAGCATGCCGGGAGCTGAAGTCCACACATCTTAAAAGTTGCCAAGTTTGGAAAAACACTCATCTAAAGCATCCCATCTCTATGTATAAAGCCCTTCTAGTTGCACAGGCAGAAATGAAGCCCCTCAAGAACAATCTCTCCAGCGTGACCAAAGAGCAGTATTTCTCTACTGATGCAGCCCTCGGTTTAAACCTGATTAAAACAAGGTGTGTATGGTAAACTCAGGAGAAGTTAACTCAGGGAGGGATGTATTTGAAGCACAAATGAGATTTGTATCTACCATTCAGATGGAGTTACCTGTTCCTATCATACAGATTCCAGGCTCAGAGACAGATTATTACTTGCCCTACAGAAAGACCACTATTTCTCTGTGAATGCAACGATGAGGAAAAGAGGTTTTGGAGGTTCCTGCTTTCCTTGCAGACTTGCGACTGCCTGTCGTAACTAAGCTGAAATAATAGCATATAAAAATTTGCATATTGGGAAAGAGCCTTATTTTCAAACTTCAACGAAGCAGCTCAGGAGCAATCAGAATTAATGGTGCATGGGAATGCCGACCCTTAGTCCTCGAGTATTTTATTCCAAGAAACATATCAAGAGGCCAGAGTCCCTTCCCTTCCCCATTCTCCCCCAAAGAGACTGCAGTTCTTCAACATTAGGCTTGGGAGACAGGTGCCCTCGGACTGGAGCTGGCTTTTCATATATTTACGAAAGCAGGACTGCCACCTAAGAAAGCTCTGAATTTCACGCGAAGCAGGGTAGGTCCTGAATGGATGGCTATTTACAAGGGAAAGCGAAGGGACTACACGCAAGGGTCCTCCTCTCCTGGGAAGTAGAAAACAGAGCCTTCCAGCCAGCTGGATATCAACTGCACCTTGCCAGTGGGAACACATCCAAGGCAGACTTCTATGTTCACCCCACAGCACATGTCACCTTCTGCAGCCCTTGTTTCTTGAACCACGAAGATCGAGAATGGAACCTAATCACAAATCACTGTAAGAGAATAGCATGAAAAGAAAAAAATTCTGTAGACCTTATGGCCAAGCTTAAATGAGACAGACTCCTGTGATCCCAGGCCTCAGTATCCTGCTGCTGCTAATCCCTCCTTTCCGTTCCTTTTGTGGATCAGCTCCGCAAAATAGTTTACTGCTTGACTGGTGGTGATCACTGTTTTCATAAAATATTTGCCCGTTGTTCTCCCTTTGCAAGCCAAAGATCAGGCCAGCTGGCAGATCATCTGTTAATCGAGAGCACTGGATCCGGTCGGAATGGCTCGCAGAAGGCCCAGCAATGCTTTCAAAGCCTTTCCTGAGGCAAATGGTGATAATTTCAAAAAACTAAACAGAAACAAAAAGCGCACCCCAGCAAAGTTTATCCACAACTGCAGTGGGCTTCCCAATGGCTGGGAGTCAGCCCCGCTTTGTCCTCAATTTATTTACAGTGTCAAGACCATTGTTGAAGTCTGTGCCCGCTCAGCTCTGCCCCTCCCACAGGAGTAGGCTCAGCAGGCAAACTCAGGCGCAAAAAACAAGCAGGTGAACAAGCCCACTCCCAGAGCATCTGGTGGACTTTCCAGCTCCTTCTAGAAGGCTCTTCCCTGGCCTAACCCTAGAGCAGCAACTGTGAGTCGGACGCTTTGCCGGGGCAACCCTGGCACATTCGTTTGTGTCTCAGCAACCGGTCTGTCCTGGAGAAGCTCTGCGAAAGGGAAAGGAGATAAAAAAAATCCAGGAGTGATGACCAGAGAGACAAGGGTCTATGTAAAACCAAAAGCAAAGCTACAAACCCTGCATTCTAAGTCAGCATACTAGAAAAGCCAACATGGGGCAGCGGGCTTTTGGGACTGGAAGTAGGGAGATCCTGAGTGAAATCCTTCTTCAATCAGGAAAGCTCACTTTGGAGGAGTTATACTTTTTCCATCCAACCTCTTGTAGGGTTATCACTGAGGAAAAAGTTAGAGGAGGGTGTGCTCTGTACTCCACACTGATGTGCTCTTCTCTATGCTGATCCAGAGTCTCGACATACATCTGACAAGGTTTCCACTCTAAATGTAAGACAAATGGGAAGAGGCCTTACCTGCAGGCAGCGCTCACACTGATATGGCTTCTCCCCACTGTGGACACGTTTGTGGCGCTCCAGGTGGTACTTCTGGATGAAGCGCATGTCACACATATCACACTCAAAAGGCTTCTCTCCTGTAACAGGGAGTAGGGAAGAGCTCCTTATTTCCACAGTTGTAAGCCCTATACGTTTAGAGGGCACAAGGTGATAAGAACCTTTCTAAGCCAAGATCTAACCATACAAAGCAGAGACAGGAGTCCTAGGGTAGGCATCTGAGTCACTGAAGGAAGAGATGTTATTGGGATTGTATGCTACAGCACACTCCAGACCCAAATGTAAATGCAGCGCCCATTCTCACTGTTCCCTCTCCTAATCTTACTTTTCTCTCTGCAACACGGGCCCTGATCCTGAAGATGGAAGCCTCAGTCTCTAGTTCATCAGTAGTTGAAGATTATTTCTGCAAGTATATTTCTGCATGGAAGAAGCTGCTACTCATGCATGTGATTTTCCAGAAAAGAAATGGATGCAGCTTTTTCCTTACAGTCTCAGGCCTGAAGGAATAGATGGTTCTCTTCCATGACTTCACACAGATAAAAATTCTGCCTTTATTTAATTGTAAAGATGAGCATACTCCAGAGATTAGGTGCCTAGATGGGCAGGAAGGTTTAGTATTTATTAGAGTGATGTGTGTTTCAAAAATGTTCCAGGATTTGGAAGAACTGCTTCAGGCCTTATGCAAATACAGTACCTCCCTGCTATTTATTAAAAAAGCCTGGCTTTTTCTTCAGGCTCGCATATGAAAGTGATAAAAAAAAAATGTGGCTAGTTTAAGAATCACGTTAACTTTAACAGTCAACTACTTAAAGCATCAGTTGCTGCTGCTGCAATTGTTTTTCAAGCCCATGGGGCAGCCTGAAAAAAGTCCAGTGACTTTAATGAATAACAGAGAGGAACCGTGCTTGCCCAAAATCCTCGCACAGGCCTCATACTACCGCAGTCCACTACTGGTAATATTTTGTTTAGGACAGAGTAGGAAACCCATCCCCTTTCTGGCATATGAAAAATGGAAGAAACCAAGAGCTACGGTGAAGCAGAGGCACCTTGCCGCTCCATTGTTTACACTGCTGAATCCAGAATGCTTGGAAGGATGGAGGGCGGAATGCTTACAGAACAGTCCCAGTTCCATGGCTAATCTACATGAAGACCTGGAAACAATTCTCTCTTCTTGATATAATTATCAATCTAAGCCTTCCAAATTGCTTTAAGCTGCCTGCATCCAGCTTGAGCCTCTGGTGGATGCATTTCAAAGGAAAGAGGGCCATCTACTGGCAGCACAAGGGCAGGGCAACTGGCTGGAATCATGTTTCAAAGCTAAACAGTTAATTACAGTGGAACGTTTTTGTTCCCTGAATGACACAAACCACACAACATTAAGGAAATCTGGATTCGAGAGATGCATTGGTACACAAGGATTCTGTAATAACCTGGATAGTTGGAAGTTGTTCCAGTGAATGGAGAATAACATTTGATAACCCTTCAGCAGGTTGTGTCTGCATCAGAATCAGTATTGCCAAACTCCCTTTACTACATTTTCCAGTCACAAGACTTAGATCACTGAAACCAGGGTGAAGACAGGAGCTGGGTTCTGTGGTTCTTGGTATCTCAAGCACCTGCATTATACATATTAATAATGGAGGAAGCTTTCATGTTCACACTGAACTGAAAATCTTTGGGTGTTGCTACATAATTTACACTCAAGATCCGTCTGCCTATTTTCTAAAGCAAGGTGCCTTGCTGAAGCTTATCAATGGGCAAATGGCCATACGCTTACCGGTGTGGATGAGGATATGTCTCTTGAGGTGGTAGCTGCTCCGGAATGCTCCAAAACAGTGCTCGCAAATAAAGTTCTTGTTGATCCGGAGCTGGAAGGATCCATTCTGCTCAATCACCACTACCTGCAAGCAAGCATGAAACAGCTTCTCAGCAAACAGGCAACGTGCCTATCCAGGCACATCTTTTGACTGAGGGCTTGCAGGCCGGCCAGGAGGTTTGGCTAAGAAAGATACATTTTAGTGCTTATACGCTGGCCTCCTCTACAGATTGTCAACTCTCCCTGTATCAAGCCAAAGTAGAATGAATTGTGCAGCACAGCGGAGGAAAACAAAGAGCATCTTAATCCATGGAGCTATTTTAAGTTTGTATAACCGATATAGGTTGCATCTTTAGCTTTGTTTGGTACAGAACTCTGATGGCCTGGATTTTTTTTTTAATTACCCAGATTCATTAATATCTTCTGCTGTTAAAAATGCAAAAATATCCAATATTTGAGCACTACTGGAAATAGGTTGACAGAAACAGGGTGGATATTTGCCCACTTAATCTCCTTTAACTTAATATATGATAAGCATGTGCAAAACACTCTGTTTTTCCTCTGGATCTGAGAACTGCAGAATGGTTTGTGAGTTTCCAGACCAGGAAGTAAGTTTTCCTGGAGCATCACAATCCACGTCCTGTTCAGGAGATACACTTCCAGAAACGTACGAACTGCTATGGCCTGTTTTGGATAAAAATTGCAACATTCTGGAGAGGAACAGCTGCTCTGTTTTGCAAATAATTAACATGCAGCTTCCAGCAAATATCTGCTCTGCTTCCAACCATTTATTATACTGTCCTGTATGTTACAGAGTAATTCCACAGAGAAGAACCCAGCCCTCCCTTGTGAGTTTGTCATCTGTCTCAGGGCATCTGAAAGTATCAAGCACAGTCTCTTATCAGCAGATAGGCAGTTTTTAAAACAGAACAGAAATCTTGGGAAGATATCTGACAGCATTAACTCTAGCTAAACACGTTAAATGCACTTTGCCCCAATTCTGTTAATCTCTTTTACCTGAGCTGAACAGTATTTTCTTCAATTCTTATGGTTTACCGCCAGAGATTATCTACTGAGCTCAGAGTACAGCTGCACAAGACACCAGGAGCTTTTTTGTATTTCATAGAAAGACAATGTCATACTTCCTTATTTTAAAAGGAGGTCACATAATGCTTGCTCAGTTCCTATTCTTCATTTGAATCACCCCAGGGCAACTGATACTGGACGCAGCAACAATATCTGTGTGCCTTGTAATTTGGGGCATAAGAATTAAAGTAGATTCAAATGCACTAACTAACCATATTGCTGTGACCACAAGCCACAGGATGACTCTGCTGGTTCCTACAATATGCAGCAGGCACTAAGTGAGGGAAGAAGCCTCACAGTCAAGCAGCCGACAGCTTGTCTGGCCAATCCTAGCCTTATGCCTTCCAGACGTCTTGGATCACAAATCATTACCGGCTATGCTGGCTGGGGATAATGATCATAATTGGCTGACCTGTTTGGAAAGGAGCAGATTGGGGAAGTTTGACACAGGAGTTGCACAACCCTGAATAATAAAGTTCTCCTTATTCTTCAGAAACACATGAAGGAGAACATTTTAAATCATCAAGCTGGTGGAGAAGTTAACTATTAGATTTATAGCTTGTGCTAGACTGGGATACGTTCCCATGGAAGGTTCATGGGCTTACTCATACAGGCTGTAAGAATGGTTGTGGCCTTTGCTTATCTTCAGCTTGTGCAAACAGCTGCACCCCTTGGTTCATACTGATTTGGCCAGTCTGGCTCACACGTGGGCCAGAATCTGGCTAGGATTCTATCTAAGGCTGCCCTGAAGAGTGTGCAGAAATACCAGTAGCTTAAGGGGCAGCAACCAAGGTGGTTTTAAATGTTCATCTTCTCAGAACATATTATACAAGTTTTTTCCCCATCTGCACTGGCTTTGATTGGTTTCCCAAGTATAGTGCAAAGCACTGGCTATTAATTATTAAGCCCTCAATGGCTTTGCCCCAGATCATTCGAAGTAGCCTGTCTACCTGCGCAAAGCTGCTCAGGCACTGCAGTCAGTCCCTGAAGCCCTCCTGAAAGCCAGGCTCAAAGTTTTCCTTGTTGCGGACATGAGAACAGGCCCTCTTGGTGGTGGCACCCGTGCCGTGGAATACCTTACTAAAAACAATCCCACTGACCCCTTTGGTTGAGTTTTGGAAGGCTGGTACGTACTTTTTATTTCAGCACGCCTTTAACAGTTTTCAGTTAGCTGCTTTGGTCCTGATTTTTAAACTCTGGCCAGTTGCTTTAAGCCCTTCTCCTGTAGCTGTTTCTAAAACTGAATTGTACAGTCTACATTTTCATTATTGCTGTTACTAGGTTTCACGTATTTAAACTGGAAGCCAGGTCTAGAAACTAGGTAGAAATTTCCTGAAAATAAATCATAGCACTGCTCACCAATTTGGCAGCGGGAGGGGGGGAGAAGAACCCACTTCCAACTGAGAGCATCTGTTCTTTAGCCCCGTCATCTGATGGCTTCTGAGAACAGGACAGCCATTCTGTAGAGGCCTAGAACTTTGCTAGGCCATATAATGAAAGATTACCTGCCTTTTTAAGGGATTTTTTAGGAGGTGATCCTTCTGCTGTTTCTTCTTCCTTCCGATTGCGTGATTTCTCACTCTCCTTGCGATGACCCTAGCAGACAGAAAGGAGGATACTGGCTACAAATGGCTTACAGTTTAATCTGTAAATTTACAAGCCAAGCCTCCCTACCCCCAACCCTGTTTCCTCTGCTCTGTTATCCACCAACATGCCTGGAACAGAGAACAACGAAGCGCACGTGCAGCATCAGACAGCTGAAAACGGGCTGGCCCTTACCAGCATGTCCGGCGCACCCCCTCTCTCCCCGTTCTCCACCTGCTTAGAGCTTTGTTTCGGCATCATCTTCTTGCTGGCAACTGTTGGCACCAGGCAAACACCAGAGAGTCCCTCACAGGCCAAGAGGCTCGCCTGCAGAGGAAAAAAAAAGCACAAAGACATCAACAAATACAGCCAAGCTGATTCCAGCCAAGCTAGTTATCCCTATAAGACTGTAGCCAGGCCTTCTAAGGTGTGGGCTACAACCTGACATATGGTTATACTGCCGCGGGTTGTGGAAGTTTCCTACTAAAGATTGACAAATGCCATTAACATCTGATGAGAGAGAAGACTCTCATTAGGTCAGCTGAGGAAGGTTAATTCAACAGCTCCCTCAACAAAAAAACTCAAACCAGCTTTGTACATACTTATCTCCAGGGGTGTGCAGTTATTTGGATCCAAGCCCCAAAAGGTGCGTAAGAAGAGATGCGGTGGGCTCACTGCACCTGCTGGCACCTCCTTAAAAAGCTGCATATTTCTTGGGCCCACACAATAGCCATGTGATTCCAGGAAAATATTTGAGTTAAGGAAATGCTGACAGAGTGTCACAAGTTTGTCTTATCACATCACCTTGATCCTTAGCTTAAATGTGTATTTTCCTGGAAATGCATGGCTACTGTGCACATCAAGAAAAAGGTTTAAGAAGGTGCCAACAAATGTAACGATCGTGCCAATGCCACCTCCAAAGCACTTTTCTGCTTTTGGTCTGAGCAGCTGCACACCCCTATTTCTTCACTCTCTATCTTGAAAATCATTTCACATCTACAGGCATCTAAGTGACTCAGTTTTCTGTGTACCTTTAAAACTTCTGTCTATCCTTTAAAACTTTTTATCCCCTATAGGCAACTAGTAAGTTACTGTTTATTAGCTGTGCTAGCATGGGTCATGAAGAAAGACAGAACTATATATATCCAAGCATGAAAGGTTACTTCCATTTGCCATCTAGACCATAAAAATGTGCTTGTTTTGTTTACTTATCCTAGCAAACATTCTTAAATCCATGGCTATTGGTCAGCCTCTCTAATGAAAAGCACTTCCGTCAGTTCTTCTCCAAAGAACTAGAAACTATAGAGGCAGACTTGGCTACTGCTTCTGACGTTTTGCTCATCTTTAAAGACAGATGTTGGGAAACAGCCATAAAACAGCAGAAACTCTGCAGCTTTGAAATGTCTGGAGTAGGAGACCTAGCTTAATAACCTTTTGGGGGCCTCGCTCACAAGCAATTAACACAGAGTTAGTAATGTGGATTGGCAAGAAAGTGGCAGATGTCCGTTAAGTGAAAGAAGAAGGGAGATGGGAGAGGGAGGATGCAAAACATGAAGGCATGTCCCACTGTCCCCCAACATCTTAAACGAGGCTCAAGTGGCAACTTTCAACCGCATCACCAAATTGGCAGATGCACTTGCAGCACACTGGCTGCGTACGCACAGATTTACAGCATGGCAGCAGTGTGGCCACTTTGTGCCAGACTCTGACAGGCAAACAGGGCACAATAAAGGCATCACAGTAACAGATGATCACAATTATTGGAAGAGAAGTACAATATTGCAGAGAAGACCTAGGTCAGTTGAGAAGAGAAAATTATGAAGAACTGGGACTTGGGTTTGGTTGGGGCCTCAGCAGCCTCAGTGGCAGTGAAGTGGGCAAAATCCCCCCCCCCCCGTGGACACCGAAACAAATAGAAATGGGATTAGTAAAGCCCTAATCACCACTAGGCTCCACAGCCTACAGCCAGCAGGGATTCTGTTTGCCTCCCTTTCTCTCACTGAAGAAAAACAAGCATTGCCAACGGTGGCAAAACTGGTCTTGGGCCAGGAAGTTGTCGATGGCCCATCAGGTAGAGCCTAAAAATCTCCCCTCCTCTCAGACACTAAAGCTGAGATGGGCAGCTCATGTGAAGGAGCTCTGGTGTAGGCTGGGACCAAGGATACCCAGGTTCAAGTCCTCCCTCAACCAGATAGCTCCCTGGATGAGCTGAGTAAGTTATTATCTCTCCCCCGTCCCTCCCACAGAGTTGCTATTGTGAGAAAAAAAACAAGAGGATATGGCCATGTGAGCTATTTTCATCTCTCCAAGGACCCTTAGGAAAGAAAGGCAGTAGCACATGGATCTCATGCCTATAAATGCCACTGCAGGAACTGCCATCTTAATTTCTCCACAGTGCACCTGACATCCTGATGGGGCAATAAGCTCCAGAGTGACACACCATGATCTTGAAAAGTAGCTTAAAAGGCAGATGCAGGAGCAGCAATAGCTGCTAATGGAAAGCTAGGGCAGAAGAACATTTTCCTAAGACTGTAAGAGTCCAAGACATATTGATAATTGGAGTGAGGGGGGAAGTAAAGAGAATGGGAAACCTGTGAATTATCAATCAATTAAATATATGTAAAAAGAAATAAAGCAGGAAGCACTGGATTAGATTCATTTCTTTAAGATCAAAGAAAGATACAGTTTGATGTATTGGATGAAACAGATAGCCAAACCTCCTATGGCTGGGGCTGTACTTTTCCTTTTTTTTTCCTCTGTGGGTTGCAAAGGATATGGCAGATGATATAATCTGAATGGCAAAGCTGAACTTTTGGGGTGGCTTGTTTGGGGTAGTCTGAAGATGATTAAGAGACAAAAAATGTGTATTAAGTTTTATGCAGGCTTTACACATTTACTTTGTCCCTTATTTTTTGCAAACCCCACTGTGAAAAAAAATATTACCTAGAAACTTTGGTACTAGTGCTGAATATTGGTGATGCAATGTGGAGCTGGAAAATGGGGTTGGGGCAGTTAGAAGTGCCTTGACATTCTTCCCTCTCCCATCAACCCCTACTCCAAACATGTATGTAAGCCCCTAGGCTTGGAGTGAAAGACAAGAAAAATACAATGACATTTTGGGCTTGAACTGGAATTGGCTGTAAGAGAAAGCAAACACATTTTCCAAACATGGCTGTGAGAAGACGGCCAGAATGGCTTGGTAACCCCCAGAACTTTGACCAGGAGGGTCCAGCACTCCAAGCTCTGCAATGCTGACTCCTGGAGCAGACCATCAAGAGCTGAACAGTTTATGTTACACAGAATGGATTATCACAGATGGCTCTTTGCAGCCACTTCCTCAATGATGAATTCCTGTGGGACAGGATGGGAGAACCGGGGCCTGTTACCTGAGCCATCGCGTTAGTCTGACAGTCCTCAACACGGAGATTACGGCAAGTCCTTACGCTTTCTCTCTCTTGCCCAGGAAAGAATTTTACGACTACAAAGATTTTTCAGTAAATCGTTTCTGCGCTGGTCCCGTCCAATACCTTCCACTTTGTTGACATCTTTCTGGAGTCGGAGAGTCCAGAATGGTGTGCAGCAAGTTTTCCCAGCCTTGTTAAAAGCTGAGGAAAATTACAGACCGTGCTGCTCTTGCAGATGAATCACCCCAAACCTAAATCCCTCTTCGGGATGGCCCTCGCTGGGGAAAGGATGCTGAGGTCCTCCTTGCACAGAAGCCACAGTATTGCTGTGTGTCCACCCCCAGTTTCCACCTGTGGGTTAAGAAAAAAAAAACAACCACATATATTTAAGAACAGAAAGTGAGAACAATATTTTTTATTATAATTATATACTGGACTGTAGTACTGCAATGGTAAAAGGTGTTGGTATCCCTAGTCTACTAACTTGAAAGGATTCTGCTTACTATTAAGTTCCCCAGTCCTATCTCTGCAATATATGACTTCTGCAAGCTCTTGCACAAAATTCTGAACTGCTGAACCAGTGCATCATCCTGGGTGATCTGTATCATTACTGTACTGCAATACCACAATGCAACATTAACATAAGAATTTTCTATCTGCCTTAAAAAACAACAGCTCAGTAGCAATTAGGAAGCCACAATGTTTTATAAGGTCCATCTAAACAAGACAACATATATACTGCAGTTAAACAATTGGTCACACTCATGCAATGAAGGTAATTCATATGCTCCTTTTTCCTTCTGGGGCTATTCCTTGAAAAATCTCAATTTCCGGAGCATGTTAGCACATTACATCACCCTCTCATTAGATATGTCTGGATCAGATTCTGACATTAAAACAGCCATAGGGCAGTAGCTCAAGTAGACAAAGTCAAACCTCTACAAAAGTCAATCTAGTCTCCAAATATAAGCATTTTATTTAGTTTTTAATGTAAATGTTTACAGTCCTTAATATGAACAAGCTAGGTCACATAATGTGTCTTCATTACTATAGTTCAGCAAAAAAAGAAAAAGAAAACCATTATGTTTAAAATTCAAAAACAGTGTGTTTTTAACTCTACACAACAAAGCCTTAAATCTAACACTATTGACAGACTGAAACACATCATAATGCCCTTTAGCAAAACCAATGCAATTGTGTAAATGAGCATTACAATACCCATGCACCAATAACATCGTCTTCACCAAACTGGGTGCCCTCCAATTATGGAAACATCCCCAAATTTTCAGAAATGACCATTTTGAATAGAAATTCTGGGATTAAAGTTTACACATGTGAAAGGCACACAAGTTAGGAAATATTGATCTATAGTGCTGCACCAAAGAAACCAAATACACTATAATGTCACTGAAGAGTAAGCTAGCATAGTACCAACACTGAGAAGTGCAGCAAAAATACAGAAAAATGAAGAAAGATTAGTACTAAAAGTTGGAGGGGGAGTATGAAAAAGCCCATATGCATCAATATCAATAATAGCAACAAGCATATTGTCAGTGCAGCAAAAACTTGCTCAAAAAGATAACCACAAGGACCTCTGGCTTAAATGCATTAAGCATGTGACACAAAACAAATTCTTATTTCCTAGCACTAATTTAAAGCTTTTCCTTCATTTTTCAATAGACTGGAACATTAAGAACCCTTGGCCCTTTAAATAAATGCCACACAGCATGAACACCAGTGTCCACACAAGCCCAGGTTGAGATTTGGTGTTTTCAATCTCTTTGCTCCTAAGGGATCAGTGCCAACATTTTCTCCAGGACAAGCCTATTCTAATACGATGTTATCTCCTCAGATAGGATCCTGCAGAACTATGGACAAGGCCAATGTTTATTTATGGTGCTCCTAACTAATTCTTTAGCACATGTCCACGAATACTTTCAAGTTTCAGAATCTCTAAACTTGAAATAACATGTTGTGTAACAGCTCCTTCACAATTTACAACGCTTCTGCTCCCCAAAGATCAACATGAAACCCTGCAGGAAGTTTAGAATCCAGTTACAATCCACACTGCAAAGAAGCGCGGCGTTTTGCAGCGTAATTTAAACCGACACTCCTGAATTCGGCGTAGCCTGAAGTGGGTTAGTAGAGCGAGTTCGTGGGAAGAATCAGAGACCTGACTCACTCACTCGCTGCTCCGCCTCTCGGTCTCGATCGTACACCTGCCGCGTAAGAGACACCCCCTCCCAGTTCCTGCAAACAGGCAGCCTAGGTCCTATGTAGCCCGAACAGGTGACCCGGGCGGCTGCGCGGCGTAGAGCCCGGGAGAGCGAAGCACGAGCCCGAAGAGCGCGTGGGCGAGTACGCACGGCTCCGCGACGCGCGCCCGAGCGAGAGCAAACGCCTGGCCCGTCTCCCCGCCCGGACTGACAATGAACACGCAGCGGCCGAGCCCCGCGAGCGCTAGGCCACAGGCGTGCGCGCGCCCCTCCCAGGGGACAGCCGCGCGCGCGCAGGCCAGCGCCGCACCTGAGTTCGCTCCCGCCGCGCCCGCTCCCCTCTCCCGGGGAGACCAGGGTAAGTCGCCGCTGCTATTCCCACCACCACCGTCGCCACTGCCGCCCTGGAAGCGGAAATGTCGAAACCCGGTACACTCTGCGGGCTTCCGGTGGCTTTGCGCACGCGCGCGTCCGGCGACTTCCTGGAAGGTCTGCGAGCGACCCCTCTGCTGCCGCCACCTTGGTAAGGGGAAAGGAGGGGGAACGTCATCGTGTAGCTCGGGTGATGGGAGCGGTAGGCCACTTGCTCAGGGACGGCTGCCGCAGGAAGGTATATTATACCTACTCAGCCACCTTTTGTCTTGGAAAGGGATACCATCACAGCCTAGATCAGGGATTCCCAAACTTTTTGGCATTCCTCCCTTTTAGAAATACTCCTCCTTGCACTTTCTGTTCTCTATTTCTTTATTTTTCTTTTCCTTTCTGAGTTTAGTTCGTATTGTCTTTTATTATTCTTTTTTTTTTTAATCAATACAAATTATTCTTTTTTAAAAAAGAAATACTCCTCCCCACCTCTCATTCAAGTCAACCCTCCCTTTGAACAAAATGCCCAAATTAAAAGACACAAAAGCACGGTATGCATTCCATGTATTCCTTTCCATTTTTTTTTTAATAAGTATCGAAAAACAAGATAACATAAAGTGATTTCACAATATACAAGAGTTCACACAATACAACTGAATTAATTTCAAGATCTTACTTCTAAATATCTCTAATTTACACCACTACCTACCAATTTTAGAACTTTATATACATAGCACACATCTTTCCATATGTGAACATAAGAACATAAGAACATTCAATTATAGTTGTTTTGACTGGGGAAAAGTTTCAAATTTTGCCATTTTTTAAAACAGGAATATTGTTTGGATGGTCTTATTCGGAGGTGTAACAAATTGATTAATTTTTCTGCCATTACATATGCCTAAGCTTTTTATACTATTTAACTAGTAAAATTTCAATATATTCTGATATATTATTATCATCACTATTCTTGCTGCTATGAACTTCATTTCTAATTAAAAATAAGCAGTTTTTCTGGTAACAGAAATATATAAAAATATAATTCCACCAAAATAAGTAGCAGAAATAAATCAATATACTGTAATCTGAAAGATGATGTTGCAGTTTCTTCATGTAGGGAAACCCAAGGTCTGACAGATAAAAGCGATCAAGACAGATAGTTTCTGATATCCAGCCAATTCCTTTGTTTCATTTTTATTGTGAATAAAATTGAAAAATATTTTTCATAGAGGCGTGGAAGATAGCCAAGGAATGATATGTGCTTCTAATTCTCTAACTTCCAATTAATTGGAAAATATTTTATTCAAATTTTCTGCAAGCATGAATTTTTGATATTTTGCACTCAATTTTTGTTTGAAATAAGAGTGCTTGTTCTTGCAATTATTTGGCATGAATCAACATCAGTTCTGAACAGATTGCATGCTAATTTATGAATGGGACTACCAGAACAATTGTCAGGAAAATAACAGAAGAATTCACCTGCAAGGCAATCCAGGTGAAGCACAACTGTGTTTTCCACAATATTTTAAAAATTTTCTGTGCATGACAAAAATATTGGAAGAGGTTGTACAGTATTTGGCATTTCAAAAGCTGGATTTTTTTCCATAAATGCTTCAGTGGCATTATAGTACAATATAATATTTGCCATAGTATTGTGTTCTTGTAGCTTTAAATTGAGGTTAAAAATGTCCAGCAAGTATGCCAGCCAAAGCTGAAATATTTGATCAGTAAACATACAATATAATCTTTCTGTCTTCTATTGCTTGAGGAAATTTTCGACTTTATCTTTTAGCTTGTATACTCTCAAAGCATGTAGCCTTTGAACAATCATTATACCACTGTTTGGAACAAAAAATGTTTTATGAATTGTTCCATAGTCCACATGAACAGCTGCAAAAAGTCTCATATTAAAGCAGTGTTCTTCACAATGTTTACATGTTTAATGGCCAAACACTGAGACCATTGTGGTACCATAGGGCTATCTTTGCAATGAATTGTGAAAATTCACTCTCTCCATTCCTTGAAATAAGATCTTTTCACTATTGATGCAACATCTGACAAATGTTATGTATGCTTTCTTTATTAGTGAGTTAATTTGCTAAACACATTTATATGGCCACCAATCTTAATCAGTGTAACTGAGCGGTGAACAAAAAATAGAAACACAGTAAAAACAGAATACCAAAAAAAGGTCACTACAGTCTGTGCTTCATTGATTATTGAAAGGCCTTTGATTGTGTCAGTCATGTCAAGCTGTGGAATATGGTGCTCAGAAAAATGGGAATCTCAGAACATCTGGTTGTCCTCATGAAAAACTTATAAACAGGCCAGGAAGACACAGTATGTACAGAATGTGATGCAACAGATTAGCTCCAGGTTGGCAAAGGAGTGCGACAAGGCTGTATACTCTCTCCTTATTTATTCAACCTATAAGGTGAATATATATTAAGGGAAGCTGGATTGGAAGATGAGAGTGGTTTAAAAACTGGAGGAGGAAACATCAATAACCAGTGCTATGCTGTTGATACTACCCTGATAGTGAAAATTGCAAAGGATGTGCAGGCTCTAGTAATAAAAGTTAAATGAAAAAATGGGACTAAAATTAAATATAAAGAAGACCAAACTAATGATAACAGGTAGAACAACCAGCCTTAGAATTGGCAATGAAGATATTGAAGTGGTGGATAGCTTTTGCCTTTGTTGATACTACCCTGATAGTGAAAATTGCAAAGGATGTGCAGGCTCTAGTAATAAAAGTTAAATGAAAAAATGGGACTAAAATTAAATATAAAGAAGACCAAACTAATGATAACAGGTAGAACAACCAGCCTTAGAATTGGCAATGAAGATATTGAAGTGGTGGATAGCTTTTGCCTTTTAGGATCAACCATCAACCAGGATAAAGGAACAAACACTCAAGAAATATGCTGCAGATTAGCACTTGGTAAACCAGCCACGAAGGCCTTAGAAAAGATATTCAAATGCTGTGATATGTTTATACCTACAAAGATCAGAATTGTGCAAGCCACAGTATTTCCTGTGATACTCTATGGAAGGGAAAGCTGGACTTTGAAGAAGCAGGAGAGGAAGAGTATTGATGGTTTTGAATGTTGGTGTTGGAGAAGACTCCTGAGAATACCATGGACAGCCAAAAAACCCCAAATCAATGGATCATCAAACAAATCAACCCAGAGTTTTCACTCAAGGCACAAATAACCAGGCTCAAATTATCCTAGTTTGGACACATTATGCGAAGACCTAGCTCTCTGCAAAAGGCTGTAATGCTGGCAAAGGTAGAAGGAAAGAGGAGAAGAATAGGATGACCAGCAGCAAGGTGCATGGACTCAGTTATAGTGGCAATGGGTGCAATGTTGGAAGATCTGAAAGACCAGGTTTGGGACAGATCATCATGGAGAAAATCTATCTGTGTGGTTGCTAGGAGTTAAAAAGGACTTGATGGCACATAATCAAAATAAGCAACCCATCTTTAAAAAAAATCCAGTTGAGGGCTCTTAAATATCTCTTTAACAACATAAACAAACATGCATATGCCAGGCTATACTAACATCCCAGCTCCAGTGCCTGGAGAAAAAGCCATATCTTCAAAGACTTCCAGAAGGCTAATAGGGTCAGAGTTATCCAAATCTCAGAGGGGAGGTTGTTTCATAAGGGAGGCAGCATGATAGAGAAGGCATGCTTCCTAGATCCCATCAGGTGATACTGCTTCACCAAGCAGAGCATTTCTGCTCTGCCAGATCTGGTGGGATGGAAATATACCACTGAGGAAAAATAGTCCCACAAGTAACCTGGCCCTATGCCATGTGGGTCTTTAAAGGTGACAACCAGCACCTTGAATTGCACCTGTAAACCAACTGGGATTCAGTGCAGCTCACATAGTTATGGTGTTACATGGACACATTGTGGTGCACCCAGAACTGCACATGCTGCAGCATTTTGGACCAGCTTCTGAATGCTCTTCAAGGGCAGCCCCATATGGAGTAAATTGCAATTGTGCAGCTGGGAAATTAGTAAGATATGAGTGACCTTGAGCAGTGCCTCCTGATCTAGGGATGGGTGCAGCTGGCATACAAGATGGATTTGGCCAAAGACTATCCTGGTCACAGCTGCCATTTGCTTCAAAAGCAGGAGCTGTGAGTCCAGGAGGACCTCTAGATTGTGTACCAACTCTATCCTTGGGAGTGTTACCCCATCCAGAGTTAACAATGGAAAATACCCAGATATGAGAAGCCCTAAAACCTACAGACACTCAGACTTGGTAGGTTCAAGCCAAAGCCTGTTCTTCCCCATCCAGACTTTCACAGCCTCCAGGCACTGAGAAAGAACCTCTGTGACATCACTTGGACAGCCTGGGGTAGAGATGTATAACTCAGTATCCTCAGCTACTGATGACATTTACTCTCATGCCAACACATGACTTCATCCAGCAGTTTCATGTAGATGTTATGTAGCAGGGAGAGAATTGAGCCCTGCGGCACTCCTCAAAGCAAAGGACTGGACCCCTACCCATCCAACACCTACTGGAAGTATTCCTCACTAGCTCCTCCTCATATGGACCCTGATTCTACTCACTCAGTGGTTGTTCCATCTCTACCTTGCCCCTCTTCCTAGTGTGCTAAATTTTTCCACAGGAGTTCTGAGCACAGACAGCTCTCCAATCTGGACCATCAGTCTGACCCTCTTTGCTCCTTCCTCAAAATATCCCCTGATTTGGAATCATCTTAGATACAGGATGCTGTTATCTCTTATCAACAACATGAGATTCGCTTATCTCCTTCTTTGTTATTTTGACCAGCCCAAGTGCTGTTTTTCCTGTGCAGTCAGTGGAAAATAGCACCCAGAGGGATTTAATAAATTAACAATTACACTTTGCCAACAATCTTACCATGCTGTCATGAAACATTACTGGTTGGGCTTCAAAGCAAGCAGATTTTGGTTTCCTTGGAGTTTTGTCCCAATTTGATATAATTTTCTTATAGGATACATGGATCCTAGGGGAATTTTCAATCCCCAAATACTGTATTTTTCTCTG